GAATTAATGCCAATTCTTCATAAACTCTTCCAAAAATTAGAAGAGGAGAGAGAACTTCTCAACTCATTTTATGAAGGCAGTATTGCTCTGATACCAACACCAGAAAAATACATCACAAGAAAAGAAAACTACAGACCAATATCTATTATTCATATGGACAAATTAATCCTCAACAAAATACTAACAAACTAAATGCAGCAACATATAAAAACAACGAAATACACAAAAATTAACTCAAAAGGGATCACGAACCTAAATGTAAGAGCCTGAACCATAAAACTCTTAGAAGAAAACAAAGGGTAAATCTCTATGACCTTAGATTTGGCAAAAGATTCTTAGATATGACACCAAAAGTATAAGCAACAAAAGAAAAAATAAACTACACTTCCTCAAAACTAAAAACTTTTGTGCTTCAAACGGCACCATCAAGAATGTGAAAAGACAACCCACAGAATAAGGGGCAATATTTGCAAATCATATTTGCTTTGAATCAGGGACTTATATCCACAAATATAAAGAAATCTTACAACTCAATAATAAAAAACAACACAATTTCAAGAATGGGCAAAGGATGTGAATAGATAGTTCTGCAAGGACGATATACAAATTGCTAATAAGCATATGAAAAGATGTTCAATACCATTAGTTATTAGGGAAATGCAAATCAAAACCACAATGAGATACCACTTCCATTCACTAAAATGACTAGAATCAAAAAATGAGATAACAAGTGTTGGAAAATCTGTGGAGAAATTGGAACACTCATACACTGCTGGTGGGAATGTAAGTGGTACAGCCGCTTTGGAAACCAGACTGGCAGTTCCTCAAATGATTAAACAGAGTTACCACAGGATCCAGCAAATCTACTCTTAGGTATGTACCTAAGAGAAATGTAAACATATTCCATATAAAACCTGTACATGAATGTTTATAGCAGCATTAGTCATAAGAGCTAAAAGGCAGAAACAACCCAAATGTGCATCAACAGATAAACAGATCAACAAAATGTAGTATACCCATATAATGGAATATTATTCAAGTGTAAAAAGGAATGAAATACTCATACTCTCTACAACATGGATGAACCTTGAAAACATTATGCTAAGCAAAAGAAGCTAGTCATCAAAGACCACATATTATATGATTCCATTCATATGAAATGTACAGAACAGGGAAATCCATAGAGAGAGGAAGTAGATCAGTGGTTGCTTAGGCCTGGGAGTAGGAGATACTGCCACAGGGGGCTGATAGCTAAAGAACACAAGGTTTCTTTTTGAGGTGATGAAAATGTTTTAAAATTGACTGTGGTGATGTTTGTACATATCTGTGACTATAACAAAAAAATCATTGAATTGTACACATTAAATGGGTGAATTGTTTGGCATGTGAATTATAGCTCAATAAAGCTGTTTAAAAAAATGTAATGAGACACTCACTCGCAGACGCCAACCCTGCACTTCTCCACAAACCTGAAAGGGAGTGCCTCTAGATCTTGTACCCTAGGTTCTTTGCCTTCCTTCACCCTAATCCCAAGCGTGCTCTACATTCTTTCCCCCTTACACAAAAATAACCACTTTTCATTTGTTGTATCCCCTTGCCTCAGCAAAGGTTTTATGTAAGAGGGCTAAAAGCAGAAATTTGCTTGCAAGATACTTCCTTTCCTGACTCTTTTTTTCTTTTCTAATAGAGTTCACTGGAGTTTATGACAAGCATCTTTGCGAGTAACAAGAAAATACTTCCCTTTTCAGAGCAATCGCACAGCAGAATGATAGATTTCTTCAAAATTTAGTCTTAAAATAGGAGGGTGATGACAGAGAGAGGCCCTGAGCTCTGCTTGGTGGCAGCACTTCAAGAAACTGGCAAGATTTTAGAGGGGATGGCCATGTGGTAAACCTACACAGAGGCTTTGGGGTTCATAGCCTCAACCAAGTTTCCTGCGCATAGCTTATGAATGGTATGCAAGGAGAAAGCTGTCAGACTTCCAGAGACCACTAGGAGTCTGGACAAACAGATGCTGGCAGAAACCTTGGTGAACTACAGCTACTGATTCTTTCTGTTTCCCCAGCACCATATAAAGCCTGGGAGGAGAGGTGAGCCCCTGATATTGATGAAAATTTAATTTCTTGCTACCCTGGCAGAATGAGTCTCTTAATTAGATTTTTTTAAAACAATAAAGAAATGGATATTTCTTATACACTTGAAGTTTTTCTTTTTAATTTTTATTTATTTAAATTTTATTTGGAAATAATTTCAAATGAAGTTGCAAAAATTAAAACAGTACAAAGAATATCCAACTATCATTTACCCAGATTCACCTATTGTTAAAATTTACCCCATTTGCTTTATTATTTGCTATTTTTCTAACTATATGTTTGTATTGTATTTATATAATAATATATAAACACACACAGTATTTTTCTGAACCATCTGAGGTTAAGTTACATATATCCTGATCCTAAAATATATGTGTATATGGACCAAAAGAGAGACTCTCTTTCATAACCAGTTAGGGTTGCCAGATCTAGCAAATAAAAATACCCTGGGCAAATTCCGACAGAAATTAAAGCTTCTGAGCTTCCCAGACTAAAAAAACTATTATACTCCCTCTTCTGAACACACTTAGACACTGTTCTTGGATTTGATGAGTTCTGGGTCCCCTGGTTACTCTTCAATTCCTAAGCAATAAGCCAAAGACCCTGGGCTAGGTTTCCGGTAACCAGTTTATGTCTGTCATGATCTTGCTGATAAAAGTGAGGGCTGGTAGACTCTGGGATTGAATTAAAACTTGTATTGCTCCTGTCTATTATCCTTGCCCTATATCATTCTATCTGTTGAAAGTTCTGTTATTTAGTAGCATTTCTCAGAATCGAATTAAATTGAATAAGAATTCTTACAAAAACCACTTCTTATCAAATTAAAATGCATATAAATCAGCATTGGATCTTACTGAAGTACAGATTCTGATTCAGTAGAATTGGGATAGGGCCTGAAATTTTGTATTTCTTAATAAGCTCCCAGAGGATGCCAATACACTGGTCCTCCTCTCATACTCTGAGTAGCAAGTTTATAGTCACCTATGTCACAATCAATAGATATTTGTTAAATATGTAGGTACCTTGGCCCTATCTGGATGTACTGATTCAGAATGTCTGGAGCAGTGTCCAGGAATACACATTTTAAACAAACTCCTAGGGAGATTTGAGAACCAGTGGTCTATGGGTTTGACATGCCCTTTACCTTTTTCTCTATTTTATTAATTTTTGTCCCTCAAAGCCTCTTGCTGCTTTTATGACCACCTCAGACTCTGAATTCTTTAACAGCTATCTGCAGCAAGCACTTGCTGTTTATCACAGGCTATCTTTTCTCACATATATCCTGTTTACCCAGACGGATTTTATTTTCTGAAATGAATAATTATGTTATACACTTTCTTGTAGCCTCAACTCCTAGCATAATGCTTAGCACAGAGTAAATGTTTAATTAATGCTTGTCATGGACAATAATGGTGATAATAGTGAATGATGATTTTTTCTCCAGGACACATGGTTGTTTCCCAGGCCTTCTGTGATTCAAAGAACCTGGTGACTCCATAAAGGAAACACTCAAGCGCTTAGCAAAAACTGTAACTCGCAACTACAGCGCCCTATTTTTCAGGAACTGGCACTACAATCCTTTTGTACTTTAGGAATTTGAATTTTATTATGGTAAGTGGCACTTTAAAGGAAAGAAAGTAATACGTTGAATTTATTATGTCTTTTATCTGTGAACCTCAAAGCACTCTAAAGCCATCTATTAAGTTACTGTAGCCATGGTGTAAATATTACTACATCCTCCTTACAAAAAAGCTGACTAGGGAAAGAGTTGTAAGACACTTGGTCAAAAATCATAGAGCCATTCTAAGAAGGCCAAACCAAGAAACTCAGGAGCAAATGAGCAAGAGGTAAGCACCTCTCAGCATCTCCCAGACCTCAGGTTGCGTGCCTTGAAAGGTGAACACTCTATAGAAGAGAAGATGCCAAAATAAGAAGAAATTTAAAATTATTTCAATAATCTTTCTTCTTCCTCTGTATCCCAATTACCATTGCTCTTTCTGTCTTAAGACGCTTGTAGGTTCTTACTTAAGTTATGGTTAAAACGCTGACCCATCTTCCCTCCTTCACAACTTGCTCTCCCTCCCTCCCAGTCCACTGTAGTTGCAACAGCAAGAACTGCCAGCTGAAGAGATCTAAAAGGAGGCTGGAACTCTGGTTCCATCACTTAGGAATTCCGCCTCTTTGAAAAAGTCCGTTCACAGAGAGGTAGTTTCCTCTTTGTGTGTAAAATGGGGATGGATCACGCCCACCTACCTCACAGGACATCTGAAGCGACAGAACGCGATTCGTAAATTGTAAAGCACTAAATGGATACCACTCGTCCCCTTACTGTACCAGTCCTTGTTTAATTTAATTTAAGACCAGGGCCACACTGCGTAGCAAAACAGGAACAGGGCGTGTCCGCAGGGAACAGCCTCGAGGGAGACCTTTTTGAGGAAAGGGAGGGCGCAGAGCTGCTGGGAGTGGTAGTCTTTGCGGCGGTCCCCGCAGACCTCGGGGAAAGAAAAGAACTACAATTCCCGTGAGGCCGTGCGGGGACAGCCCCGCGCACCCTCCCGCCAGGCGCGTCCCCCCAGGCTAAATGGCAGGGCGACCTGCGCGCGCGCCGGCGATCCGCAGAGCGAGCGCTGAGGAGGGGCGCTTGTGGTGGTCATGGCAGCTGATCGAGAAAAGGAGACGCGTGGGAGTGTTTGGTGGTTGAAACAAAGATAGGACGCGTCGCAAAAGGCAAATTAAAAAATAAAGAAAGCCGTGCCCCAATGCCTCACCACCCCAGCGTATCCTAACTCGCGCTACTGCGGAGGCGTCGGGAGCGCGCTCCCCGGCTCGCGCCTCGTGCCCCGGGGGGCTTAAATCAACAGGGGCGGGAGGGGGCGGGGCCGGCGGCCCGGGGGGCGGGGCCTGAGGCAGTGTGTGTGCGGCGGCGGCGGCCACGACCCAGACATCTGGGACTGTTGTTGTTCCTTCGCGGCGGGACCGCCTCAGTCCGTTCGCCCAGAGGGAGACCGGGAGCTGGTCTGGTGGGGAGCGGGCGGCTGCATCCCCCTCTCTCCTGCTTCCCCAGAGCGGCGGCAGGAGCTGGCGCAAACGTCCTGCGGTTGGTCTCCGATGCCCTTCAGTGAGGAGGGGGCGTCCAGACCCTGGTGAGCGCACCTCAGGCCCCCGCAACTCGGTGTCTTCGCCAGCCCCCCGGGCGCGCAGACCCCAGTCTGGCTGCCATGTCTGAAAACGTGGAGGGAGACCTGAACTCCAACCTGCTCCGCGCCCCCTACCACACCGGGGACCCTCAGCTAGACACGGCCATCGAGCAGTGGCTCCGTTGGGATAAGGTGGGTACCTGGTCAGCCTGGCATCCGCCCCCTCCTCCCGCACGCCCTCCCACCCCAGTCCGCCCTTTCCTGACCCCACCCGTGCTCGGCGGGCTGCAGAGGAGATGGTTTAGGCCACGGGGCGGGGGCCAGCAGAGCCGGGCGTTGCCACCTACCTATGCCCGGGCTGCCTCTCAGGGCTGGGCTGGGCAGGGATGCCTGTAATCGCTTCTTTTTACAACGCGTGAAATTGCAACCCTCCCTCTCCCCTTCAAGTGCATGTCGTTTCTCTTTCTCAAAAAAAAATAAATAAATAAAATAATCACGGTAAGTTATACTCTTCATAGAACTATTTCCTTTCCCCTTTCTTCTCCCTTGACTTCCTTCTCTGCAAACCTGAGAGTGGTTTTTGGCACCCTGCTTGGACGTCTCTAACCGCTATCCGCTTTTGGTTCTGGTCTGGTGTGTTTCCACCTTCCGTCGCTAGGTAGTCGCTGGTCTTTTATCACTCCCTGGCGTTCTCCAGTATCACCTTTTGCTCTTGAGAAAGGTAGGGGTTCTTTTACCTCTCTTTCCCTTGCCGGGAGTTATTTTCTGGAAATATACTGTTCAAAAAATCATGTTTTCCAGGTTTCATATGATGCTCCTGGTACAGAATTGGCTTTGCTTTACCCATTCCTCCTCTGTCCCCCCCACCCCCTCCACGTTATTGCGGTGATTTCATCTTGTGCAGACATATGGGATGGATCTGTGAGAGCTAGAATTAAAATGCAGCTCTCTGACTTGTAAAAGAGGCCCCTGGTGGCGCCATGCGAGGAAGATGATCCAAGCTTTTGCTTTGTCAAGTGCATTTGTTAAATGCATTTGCTGAAGTAGAGAAGGCAACATATTTATACTATTGTTCTTTCCCCGCCCCCCAAAGCCCCAGTAGATAGTTGTATGTCATAGTTGCACATTCTTCTAGTTGCTGTATGTGGGACGGGGCCTCAGCATGGCCGGAGAAGCAGTGCATCGGTGCGCGCCTGGGATCCGAACCCCAGGCCGCCAGCATCGGAGCACAGGCACTTAACCGCTAAGCCAGAGGCCCGCCGGAGAAGGCAACATATTTAAAATGGAATTAATAATACTGAATTAAAGAATTAGTATAGTAGTGTGTGAAATCATGTTGTGCAAACAATTTCCTAGAGGATTGGCTTTGTGAACGTTTTATTTTCACTTTGTTCAGTCATTCATGCATTCCGCAAAAAATATTTACTGAGCACTGGGTGGCGTTCCAGGGCGTGGTAGTCCCGGGGAATACTAGTGGTGAGGAAGATAGAAAGGGTTCCTGCCCTCAACAAGCCTTAGTTAGCAGATAAGGGAGACCAACAAATAAGCAACTATGAGTTAGTATTACTTGGCCATATGCATCTTGGCAATTCTAATTCTTCCTTTGGAGCTTAAACCAGTGCTTTTCAAACCTTGGAGTGTTTACAGATCACCTGGGAATCTTAAAATGCAGATTCTGATTTAGGAGGCCTGGGGTGGGCCCTGAGATTCTGCCTCAGAATGAGCTCCCAAGTGATACCAATGCTGGTGCTGTGTGGATCACATTTGAGTAGCAAGACTCTGGAGTGTTCTGCCTGAGTTAGTGAACTAGAGAACTATATAGTTCCTTGTTGTGGAAGGATACAAAAGAAGTGAACATTCAAAGACTGCTCTTCTGCTTTTAATCCATTAGAGAGGAGGAAACCTAATAGAAATAAAAGAGCTAAGGCTTAGCATACAGTATACTACAAACGGACTATATAAAGGTCTTCAGCAGGGAAAATTAACTAAATTACAAATGAATGTTATCCTTATATGTTTAATATAGTTAATTGTTTTCGCTTAAAGCCATCTGCTTTCATTGGTATTGTCAGTAAATGAATGTGGTTGCCCTTAGATCTCCCTAATGTGAAAGGAAGATTTATGAAATTTAAAGACACTTGTAGAAGCCTAAAACAATTTCGTTTACTTGTAACTAACATGTATGTCAAAGTGTTTGGCCTTTCAACAATAGGGGCTTGTTTTTCATTGCTATGGATGAGCTCTTTTGTTATCTTTAGGTGCCAGTTTTGACTATACTTCTCCCAATGAGTCTCTTGATTGATTTTTTTAAAAGATTGGTTGAATTAATATTTATTAATTATCTATGCTGTGCCTAGATATTGTTGGGATATACCAAAATATAAAAAGACTATAAAATACATATACACACAAAAAGATAATGCTAAGGTAGTATTGGTGGTAATTAAATGGTTTATAAGCAGTCAGTTCTTATAGGAGTTCAAAAGTAAGAGTGACCTGTGGATTGGGATGGCCAAGGAAGACTTTATAAGAATATGGGATACATGTAAAAAGAATGAGGAGAGCCAATTCTTAGTACCCTCTACATACAAGGCACTGGCTGAAAATCTGTGGGAGATACAGAGATGAAATAAATATGAATCATATCTTCAAAGAACATAGAAGGGAGAAGATAAAACAAAAGCTCGCAAATGTAATACAAAGAGCAAATAAGTGCCCCTAACAGAATAGATTTAAATAATTTTAATAATGATTTAATAAAAATAATAAATAATTACTTAATTGATCCTTCTCTTAATGGGAGAAAATACTTTTAGTTGGTAAATAAAGGAGTAGCTATTGTAGATTCATAGTGTAGGTAAGCTAGGCTATGTCCCAGGCCACTGAAATGTAAAGTATACAAGTGTAAAATAATGGATCAGACTTATAGCATTTATGACATTACACTTTGACAGTATGTGTAGTCTTTTAGCATAGAGAAACTGAGTTTAATACCCGATTAATACCTATTTAGTGAAAAAAGGAGCCTGCCACATGCTGCTGATTCTTAATGACTCTGGTGAGACACATAAGAAGTTATGAATTGATCTGAGGGCAATTTGCTACTTGCCTAGGTCACCAAAATTGCTAGTTTTAGCTTTGGTGGGCTGGTATACTTTGAAAAATCTTCATGAAAAAAACTGTTATTTGTGCTGAACTTTCACAATTAGTTAAAATTTAGACTTGCCAACATTGAGAGGAGGACTATTCCAAGCAGACATAGGAACTTTGAAGGGTGTACTTAGAACGTTTGTTTCTGCTGTAGCTTAGGGTACATAGAGAGAAATTGTTGGAAAGGCATATAGACACCAGGTCATAGAAGGGCTTTAGTATGTCCTTAATGGTCTTGAATAGATGAAGGTGTGTGTAAGTGTTAAAAAGAAAATAATGCAGCAAGACAGGGTGTTCATTTGGGCAGTGGGAAGCATGCCATGTAGTTTCTGTGGGGTGGCATTCTGTTGGTAAATCTACCCTAGTCCACGTTCTGACCCTCTGGTTCCTATGCCTTCAGACTAATTTGTTAGCCTATCTTGTCTCAGGATGGACTCACCCTACTCAAGGTCACAGAAACTGATGTCTGAATTCAGAATGCTATTTTATTAGTTTATAGTACAGATGTAATATAAGTGGATTGTCTCTAGTCAGGGCATTTTCTAGATGCACCATAAGGAGAGTCAAAGAATCAGAAGATTTTTAGTGATCACAAAATCAAATCACAGGGAGTCAGATATATGGCGTAAATGTTTAACACCATCAGCCTATAATAAGTAAACGCATCTGTCTCCAGAATGGGACTCTCCTGCCACTGGAACCCAAGAAATCCATAAATCGAGGTGTTCCTCTTCCAGGCCATGCACAGATGGCTATAGTGCTCTCTCCCTTTTATGCTCTAGGGCTGACTAAGGCTCCCACTTCTTTCCTAGTTCTTCCTTTCAGTTCTTTCATGCATTCTGTCAAATTACAGACAAGTCTTGCTGGCCTAGAAGCCAGGTTCTCTTTAACATCACAGCTGTCTCCTGTTTATGGTCTACTGTAAATGTTAACTTTTTGAAAGCAGTGTTATATTCGAGATATAAAGCACTGGTCAAAGTTTGGGTGTGTGAATGTGTGGGTGGGGAGTGGGACAGGACACAGGGCAGAGCTGCTCAGCTAGTTGTAGCGGAACAGCTATGCGTTGACAGTAGTGTGGAGGCAGGAATTGGCCGTGGCGTTTTGAGAAGCAGTGAGTAGAGCACTCTGATCTCAGAATGTAGGTCTGTGTTGAGAAAGAGTAAAATGTAAAGTTAAAGATAGGTTAGGTTAGGTTAAGGTTATGAAATGCCTGAAAATAGAAATAAAAGACTTCGATCTAAGCCAGTGATATTCAGACATCTAGCAGTGAAAGTTTTTCAAGCAAAATATAGCCTAGATAAAAAAAAGTGGTGAACAAATTCCCTTTTAAATCATCCTTGTGTGATGGGAAATACGCTTATGAAGCACTTCTACCAAGGTAGTCTAATCCAATTTTATTGTGTAGAGACCCAAAGAAGTTGTGGAAATTATCCAGTTGGGGTAGAGCCTGGACCAGAGCTTGGACCTGCCACCTAGTTCAATCCAATTTTTACAATACTAGTCTATATTACATTTTTCTGTTTACATTTTTCTAATAGTTTAGTTAATTTGGCATTTAATCAATGAAGAGAACAGAATACATATAGCTTTATTAATTTCGGGAAATGTTAGTACTTATTGCTTGAATTTATTTGTGTAATGTTTCAAACTTTTAAAATGATCTAAGTCTCATTTGATATTCACAGCAACCTGTATGGTAGGCAGGCTAGGTAGTAGTATCCTCATTTTTAAAAGTAAAGAAACTTAGGCTCAGAAAAGGAAAATGACTTGCTCAAGGATATATGGCTTTTAAGTGGTAGAGTTGGGACTAGAACCTAGGTCGTCTGACCTTTGCTCTAGTTTTTTTTATCACTGTACTAGACTCTATAACCTGAATATTTAGTAAATGTTAGTGACATCATAAATTAAGCTTCAGGGACCTCACTGAACCATTTTATTGGGTTTTGTAAAAGCTGGAGTAGCATATATATTCTGCAGAATAATTTGTCATGGAATTTTTTTAAAGAGCTGAATATGCTGCTTAACAGTTGCTTCGGTCTCCT